TGGTCTTAGGCTTGGAGGAGAAAACACTTTAACCACGAGGCCATACTAAAACCTCACGATTTTGTGAGCTTAAACATTAGTATTGTAAAGTACACTGGGAATACACAAAAAAATGTGTGAATTGCTATAGATATGACTGGTTGGTTGGTTGTTTAACGCCGCACTCAGCAATATTCCAGCTATATGACGGCGGTCTGTAAATAATTGAGTCTGGACCAGACAATCCAATGATTAATATCATGAGCATCGATCCACGCAATTGGGACCGATGACATGTATCAACCAAGTCAGCAAGCCTGACCACCCGATCCCGTTAGTCGCCTTTTACGACAAGCATAGTCGCCTTTTACGGCAAGCATGGGTTGCTGAAGACCTATTCTACCCAGGAATCTTCACAGGTCGCTGTAGATATGAAATACAATCACCACTTTAATCAATATAAGTATCACTTGTATTGGTATTTACACTGACACCGATAGAATATGACCCGGATCTGTAAAGGACCGGTTGTCTATAAAGTTGGCTAAGGCTAGGTATCCCAGTGTGTACCGATACTATGGAGAACCCCTGGGCTTGTTAGGAAGGTTGTGAAATGAATACATCCAGAGCAGCAGGCCAGCAGACATTGTGACATGTGAGAAGGTGAGATGGAATGGGGTATAATGTCATTCAAGCTTATTGCCGAGCTCCAGGCACGGTAACAACAAGTGTTATTTTTAACATCATTTGGAATTGAACCACGACCATCCGCTCTCCGGATAGACTCTATCCACTCGACCACAAAGGCAGTGACACGTGACCAATGGAACCCAACCCAGTAAACCCTTTAGCCACATTGCTAGGCTGTTATCTCAAGTTAAAACTGTTATACTTATTAAATATTTAATGTATGTGTGAATGTATTGCTATGGATATGAAATACATTAGTATTGTCATTAATGTCACTGGAATTTGCAATGACAGAGCCAAATGTGACCCAGATATGTTGAACGATTGAAACTCGGTGTAAGTGTCTATACCCATACTTTGCAAGAATGCTAGGCTTGTTTAGAAGGTATCAAATGAATACATCCAGAGCAGCATGGCTCAACCACATCTGTATATATCCATTCTTGTGACAGGCCGAAATAGAGTTTCAAAATTAATATGACAAATGCAGACTGAATTTGAAACATGGCAGAAACCTATGTGCACCCTCACAGCTATAAACACTAAATATTTATCAGTGAGGCATTGAATTCCCAAATTATACTAAAATTCCAAATCATTAAAGTTTGATCTATGTATGCTTTATATATAACAATAATGGCTCTAGTCGTGGCAACTTCCAAACTTTCCGGAAGTTGTGATCTATCGGACCGTCATTCAGGCGATGTTTCTGACAGATCACAATCTGAAAAATACTATCATGAAAGTGTATCCCGTGGATAAGCTGACCCCTTTCTACAGAATCTTTTTTCTGGTCCTCAAAATTCGGCTTATACGCGGTCATATACGGTATGTATGCTTTATATATATTTGTAATAAATTTCATACGTTTATTGGGGAGGCAACAATGATCATAAATACATGAGGAATATCGAAGTGTACATATAAGTTCCCCTAATGTTTGAAAATCATAGTTATAAAAACATTTTCAATATACAGGAGATAACAAACATCAAGTCAATACATGGTATGAGTGTGCCATTGGTTTGTTTGTTTGTTGTTTAACGCTGCACTCTGCAATATTTCAGCTATATGACGATTGTCTGTAAATAATCGAGTCTGGACCAGACAATCCAGCGATTGACGTCATGAGCATCAATCTATGCAATTGGGATACGATGACATGCATCAACCAAGTCAGCAAGCCTGACCACCCAATCCCGTTAGTCGCCTCTTACAACAAGCATAGTCACCTTTTCCGGCAAGCATGGGCGCTGAAGACCTATTCTACCCTGCAGAGTGTGCCATTAGATCACAAGAGAATGAAATAGTTGGGTCACTAATTCTCTAACACAGAATACAATGACACTGAACGACGACAACTGGTGTCAGAAATATAGCCGGGGAGCAGTGCAGTCACTAGACCTTTACAAGGGTAGATTTTATGACCCGGTGACAAATGATAGTATACCATCACTCAGACAATGAAGGCAATATTTGACACATGACAAGAACTATTAAAATATTTATCATGGGCTTGTGGATTTTGACTGCTTTCAGCACTTTTCAAGAATATCAGGTCAGCAGACATTGTGACATGTGAGAAGGTGAGATGGAATGGGGTATAATGTCATTCAAGCTTATTGCCGAGCTCCAGGCACGGTAACAACAAGTGTTATCTTTTAACATCATTTGGAATTGAACCCCGACCATCCGCTCTCCGGATAGACTCTATCCACTAGACCACAAAGGCAGTGAAACGTGATTATTATGTTGAACGATTGAAACTCGGTGTAAGTGTCTATACCCATACTTTGCAAGAATGCTAGGCTTGTTTAGAAGGTATCAAATGAATACATCCAGAGCAGCATGGCTCAACCACATCTGTATATATCCATTCTTGTGACAGGCCGAAATAGAGTTTCAAAATTAATATGACAAATGCAGACTGAATTTGAAACATGGCAGAAACCTATGTGTACCCTCACAGCTATAAACACTAAATATTTATCAGTGAGGCTTTGAATTCCCAAATTATACTAAAATTCCAAATCATTAACGTTTGATCTCTGTATGCTTTATATATATATTTAATAAATTTCATACGTTTATTAGGGGGGCAACAATGATCATAAATAAATACATGAGAAATATCGGAGTGTACATATAAATTCCCCTAATGTTTGAAAATCATAGTTCTAAAAACATTTTCAATATACAAGAGATAACAAACATCAAGTCAATACATGGTATGAGTGTACCATTGGTTTGTTTGTTTGTTGTTTAACGCTGCACTCTGCAATATTTCAGCTATATGACGATTGTCTGTAAATAATCGAGTCTGGACCAGACAATCCAGTGATTGACATCATGAGCATCAATCTATGCAATTGGGATGCGATGACATGCATCAACCAAGTCAGCAAGCCTGACCACCCAATCCCGTTAGTCGCCTCTTACAACAAGCATAGTCACCTTTTCCGGGAAGCATGGGTGCTGAAGACCTATTCTACCCTGGAGAGTCATTAGATCACAAGAGAATGAAATAGTTGGGTCACTAATTCTCTAACACAGAATACAATGACACTGAATGACGACAACTGGTGTCGGAAATATAGCCGGGGAGCAGTGCAGTCACTAGACATTTACAAGGGTAGATTTTATGACCCGGTGAAAAATGATAGTATACCATCACTCAGACAATGAAGGCAATATTTGACACATGACAAGAACTATTAAAATATTTATCATGGGCTTGTGGATTTTGACTGCTTTCAGCACTTTTCAAGAATATCAGGTCAGCAGACATTGTGACATGGGAGAAGGTGAGATGGAATGGGGTATAATGACATTCAAGCTTATTGCCGAGCTCCAGGCATGGTAACAACAAGTGTTATCTTTTAACATCATTTGGAATTGAACCCCGACAATCCGCTCTCCGGATAGACTCTATCCACTAGACCACAAAGGCAGTGACACGTGACCAATGGAACCCAACCCAGCAAACCCTTTAGCCACATTGCTAGGCTGTTACCTCAAGTTAAAACTGTTATACTTATTAAATATTTAATGTATGTGTGAATGTATTGCTATGGATATGAAATACATTAGTATTGTCATTAATGTCACTGGAATTTGCAATGACAGAGGCAAAATGTGACCCAGATATGTTGAACGATTGAAACTTGGTGTAAGTGTCTATACCCATACTTTGCAAGAATGCTAGGCTTGTTTAGAAGGTATCAAATGAATACATCCAGAGCAGCATGGCTCAACCACATCTGTATATATCCATTCTCGTGACAGGCCAAAATAGAGTTTCAAAATTAATATGACAAATGCAGACTGAATTTGAAACATGGCAGAAACCGATGTGTACCCTCACAGCTATAAACACTAAATATTTATCAGTGAGGCTTTGAATTCCCAAACTATACACTAAAATTCCAAAACATTAACATTGCCATTAACTATTCCTGTATGTATCAATCCTGAGAGAGGCTGTAATAAATTTCATATGCTGGTTTAGAAGTAGTAAGTGAGTTGTATTTTACGCCACTTTTTAGCAATTTTCAGCAATATGCGGGGGACACAAGAAATAGGCTTCACACATTGTACCCATTTGGGGAATGGAACCCTCATCTTCAGCGTGACGAGCGAACACTTCAACCAGTAAGCTACCCCACCGGCCCCTCGGTTTTGGAGTAGACCGTAACACAACATGGAAGTCCCATTTAACCCACTCCTATACTAACCTAAGTGATACAGTTAAATACAACGTGCTGACTATGATTATACTGATTGTCGTGTTGGAGTCTTCAGTGTGACAATCACACAGAGTTAAGAGCAGCATGGCTGTTGGACACACTCCAGTCCATCATGGATGAAAGAAGCAGAGTCCAAAACTAGTCCATTGATATTCGGAGGAAATGCCTGTTGGAGAGAAAGATACATTTATTCTATATAATTCCAGAGATGGGACGGTTAAACGTGCATGTATATAGTCATGTCTTAATTATCTTCGCCGAAACATTTTACAGATTATTGGAACAGGACTGAATACACATTTTTCAATATTTTCTGTGAAAAATGACAAATAGCACATAGGAGAACCTACGTGTCATAAACAATGGATAACGTCATTAATTATATGCAAACAATGTGTTGATATGACGTGGCATTGCTATGGGATGCTTCCCAAATAATAAAAACAATGGGATAATGGAATTACAAAACAGTATCATTGCTAATCCATGCTGACTGGCTCAGTGAGAATTAATGAAAATGTTTGTACCAATATCCTTGCCCAAATGGATAATTTGCTATATTACTATGTTGTTATAAATACTTGCCTACTGATATATGATGGTGCAGTGCACCACAGCAGCATCCTCGAGGTCTGTAATCTTCATCTTGTATGCTACTGCAGTGACTGAGCGTGCAGACACCTCCCCACTGGCAAGAGCGAGACAGGTACAGTGTGCAGCCGCGGCAAAGGTACCTGTAAACATACACATGGCATTGCATGCACACAGGAACAATTAATTAGGTGAGGTGAAATGGGGTTTAATGTCGCGTTCAAGACTTTTGCACTTATATAGCGATGTGCATGCACGTGTGTGTGCCCGTGTGAGCCTGCTTGTACAAGTCCGGACTAATGCCGATTTTCAAAGTGCTAGCCCACTGAGCTACCATGCCGCAGGTTTTTAACATGAATACCCCATTCTCAGACACAGTATGCTGACTCCGAGCCCACCAGTTCTTATTTTAGTCCCTTAATGATGAGCGACAGGCAAGGTACCATCTTTTAAGGTCTTTTGGTATGACATAGCTGGGGTTCGAATCCCCGACCATCCGTTCTCCAGGCAGACGCTCTATCCACTAGACCATGGAGGCGGTTGAACAAATTAGTAGAATAGAATTGACGAAAGGAGTGTTCTGAAAAGAAAAAGACAGGTAGGAGGTCTTGTAGTTCTTAAGACAGTTGTTAGGAAGAGTCTGTCTGCAACTGCACTTCTTCAAAGATTAAAAGGTATGAGTGAGTGAGTGAGTGAGTTGGGTTTAATGCCGCTTTTAACACGATTCCAGTTATATCACGGCGTGTCAGCTTAATATGGGAGGAAAGCCCGAAGTGATGCAGGTCTCAGATGTTTACCACTTCGGTGAAACCCACGAGCACGGGTATGGTGCTGACAAACCTAGAAACATAATTGGGGCGAACCGGGATTCGAACCCACAATCATAGGTTTCTGGCGTGCCCAAGGGACGCAACTCTGCACAGCGAATCGCGGCGCCATAGACGTCTGGGCCACCCGTGCCCCCTGTAGTTCTTAAGACAGTTGTTAGGAAGAGTCTGCACTTCTTCGAAGATTAAAAGGTATAAGACTCAGTCTGAAACCCACCTTGTCACTTAGTTCTGTTCAACATCTATCTCAGTGGTGGCCTGATAATGCCAACATCCTACCAGAGCACCGCACAAGATTAGGTAAATCCGTCTTTACTTCTGTGTCAAATCTCACTTGTATGTCGGAAGAAATATCATGTTACATTTGGTTGAATGGTCAAAATATTTCAGTCACTGTTCTTGATACTCACTCATTTCAACGAGTGAGAATTTCCTGTTTCAAAAGCATTCAATCAATTCCTGACAAAAGATGTTCTCCAAACACAAGAAGCAAGAACAACAGCCTAAACGTGTCAGACTCGGTTATCAAAGTAGTCCGAACTCATCAAGTCAACACAAGTCTCAGTAACCAGTTCACACACAGTCAACAGGCCATTGGTCTCGAAGTCAACAGGCCATTGGTCTCACCGTCAATAGTTCAGAAGAGAAAGAGAACTTCCTCCTTCACTGTCGGGGACCACGTCAACCTGGTGTTACCTCTCCACATGCAGTAAGTATAACTAAGATATAAACGAATCATTAATACTATAGGAATTAATTTTAATGTATAATATGTACAGTTTCTGCTCTATATCTCACTTGAACAACTGTCATGTTGGTGCCTACATTTCATTGGTATTCACTATCCAACAAAACTTCAAAGTTGGTCACACACACATGTGAATCGATCGGAATGTTATGGAAGTTATTGAATAAATTCTTAAATGAACAAAATACTGTTTCCTCTTCAGGTGTGATGACAGGTTACCTTCTCCATCACCTCTGCCAGTTACACTGCTTCATGTGCAGGAATTGACACCCTCTGATATACTCACCATATCCGTGATCAAGTAATCTGAGTAAGTGTCGATATAAACAGTTTCATGTTAACTTGGACCAGATACATTGTATCTTCCCAAAGAAAGTGAGTTAACTGACATTATAAACCTATTCATTGGGATCACTATTAAGTAAAAGACTTCTTTCTATAGGCATTAAAACCTATTGTGAGGTTTTACTTTCCAGTTGGGTTAAATCTCATAAAGAGGGACATTGTAATGTCCCTGGGATTTTATAGAATATCCCAGGGATTTTATATAATGTCCTGGGTATTTTATTAATATAACTTCCGTTCAGATTGTAACATGTAATGAAATGTAAAATCAAATGACAAATGTTTTCTTTATATTCCCGAGGATCGAACTCGCAACCTTCATATCTGTAGCCCAGTGAGTGTGCCACGAGGCTACAGAAGTGTTGATAAGCCTCACTGGTTTTTAGAATATCCTTTTCAAGATCCGTACGCCAGCAACAGATATTTTACGTGCTTTCCTAAGGTTCATGGAAAGTATGTTCGAAACATAAAAATGTTGATAAATGTTGTTTTAAGTTTCTTTTTTCGGTTTATAAGTATGGAAAAACACTTTCCCTCGGTTTGGTAGACAGAGCATGCCCTGGGGGTCGGAAAAAACCGTGGGGGCTTCGCCCCCTTGGTTTTTCCCTCTCCCCAGGGCATGCTCTGTCTACCAAAACCTCGTGAGCGTGTTATCTCCAATACATAAAAGTTTCCACCCTTGCCAAACTAGCCTGTAAATTCGTGCCTCGATCATGGTGCCATCAGTGGCAGTTATGAGTTATGTCCCTCCTATGACTCTCCCATTGACCAATCAGATTCCACCTCTCCTTTCACTTGCCACTTCTTTAAACAAAATGATGGCGACCAGTCCAGACGATCTGATTGATAATCAAGATCTCTATTGTAATAAAATGGGTCTTACCTAGTAAAGTACATCAATCACTTGAACACCCTGATTAAAAAGCCTGAAAACATTTAGAAAACATCTGCAAGCGCACTCTACACGTACTCTGCAAATCCTTCAATCGACTAAAATCTGCACGACAGTTGCCATGTTGTTTATTATCCCAATATTGATTTCATTCCATGATTTTGATTGGACAATGCATAGACTCGTTAGTCTAGCCAGAGTACAACTCCATAATTCCAGCCTAGTTCTGCAACGGTGGAAACTTAAATTCACTGAACTCCCTTGCCTCAGAAGATGCTGAGAAGATGTTTTCGGATACAACTGAGTCGTCGTTCAACTAGAAGGTGTTAGCGGGTGTTTTTATAGTAGGAGTATGAGCCATGAAATATAAAACACCCCTCAACACCTTAAAGCTGCCGCGTCATCAGGAGGTACACATGGACACCATCAGGGACTTGGAAGTGGATGATCGTTACACACAAAACCAGATCCTGAAAACACCAGCATGTTCAGTTGTAATCTTTTCCTTTTGTGTAGATGCTCAGATTTACAAAATACTTTGTTCAGTTTGGACTTTTGAATTCGGGAAGATGGATACATTGTCCTATCACCAGTTTCCACCCTTGCCAATCTAGGCTGGAATTGTGGAGTTGTATTTTGGCTGGACTAACGAGACTAAGCATGGTCCAATCAAAATGGTGGAACAAAATCAACATTTGGTTCATAAACAACATGGCGGTTGCCTTGCAGATTTCCATAGATTGCAGAATTTGCAGAGCATGTGTACTTTCAACTGGGAATCGATAGATGTTTTCCAAATGTTTTCATGTTTTTAATCAAGGTGCTCAAGTGATTTGATGAACTCTGAGAGGTAAGACCCATTTTATTACAAGAAAGATCTTGATTATCGATCAGATTGTCTGGACTGGGCGCAGTCATTTTGTTTGAAGAAAATGGAAGTGAAAGGAGAGGTGGAATCTGATTGGTCAGTAGGAGGGACATAACTCGTAACTGCAATGGGCGGTGGCACGATCGAGCCACTTGACGTTTTTATTCAGTTAACTCCCTTTCCTCGGGAAGATGCAATGTATCTGGTCCAAATTAACATGACACTGTTTATATCGACACTTACTCGGATTACTTGATCACGGATATGGTGAGTATATCAGAGGGTGTCAATTCCTGCACATGAAGCAGTGTAACTGGCAGAGGTGATGAAGAAGGTAACCTGTCATCACACCTGAAGAGGAAACAGTATTTTGTTAATTTAAGAATTTATTCAATAACTTCCATAACATTCCGATCGATTCACATGTGTGTGTGACCAACTTTGAAGTTTTGTTGGATAGTGGATGGACAATACCAATGAAATGCAGGCACCAACATGACAGTTATTCAAGTGAGATATAGAGTAGAAACTATAATGTTATACAAAAAAAGAAATTCCTATAGTATAAATGATTTGTAATTTATCTTTAGTTTTACTTACTGCATGTGGAGAGGTAACACCAGGTTGACGTGGTCCCCGACATTGAAGGAGGAAGTTCTCTTTCTCTGCTGAACTATTGATGGTGAGACCAATGGCCTGTTGACTGTGTGTTGACTTGATGAAATCAGACTACTTTGATAACTGAGTCTGACACGTTAAAGATGTTGTCTACTTGCATGTCAGGTGAGGTTACTGGGGCTAGTGGTAACTGTCTGCAACTAAGGTTGGTGGCAACGGAAACAGGATGGCAACCGAGGCTGGTGGAAACTCAGGCTGGTGGAAACTAAGGTTGGTGGCAACTGAGACCAGTGCCAACTGAGGCTGGTGGCAACTGGAGCTGATGGCAACTGAGGCTGGTGGCAACTGAGGCAGGTTACTTGTGGCAACTGAGGCTAGAGCCAGATGCCTGGTGGCAACTGAGGCTGGTGTCTAGTGGCAACTGAGGCAGGTGACAAATGAGGCTGGTGGCTTGTGGCAACTGAGGCTGGAGCCCGATGTCTGGTGGCAACTGATGCAGGTGGCAACTGAGGCTGGCTGCAACTGAGACAGGATGGCAACCATGGCTCCTTACATCTGAGGCTGACTGCAACTGAGGCTGGCTACAACTAAGACAGGATGGCAACCTAGGTTGGTGGCAACTAAGGCCGGTGGCAACTGAGGCAGGTTACTTTTGGCAACTTAGGCTGGTGGCAATTGGCTTGTGGCTTGTGGCTCGTGGCAACTGCGCCTGGAGGCTGTCTGCAACTGAGGCAGGTGGTAACCGAGGCTGATGACAACTGAGGCTGGCACCAACTGAGGCTCTCGGAAACTAAGGCCTCTGAGGTCATTCAGGTCGTTGTCAACACCCCTTTATGGGACACCCT